TTGCATCCCGAGGGTGTCCCAGCCCTGCAGCCTGGGAAAAGTCCCCGTTTTGCGTTCTGGAGTTACAAAAACCAGACAGGCAGAGCTTAAAGGAAACCAAAGGAGCAGTTTCTGGGGGGCCACTCAAGCCTGAAATATGTGGAACAGCTGGAGGGATGCAGGGGATTTCAAAGGGAAGGCTGGGATGCCGATGGAAGCTGCTTTGCGCTGGTAGCTTACGGGAAGAGCTGCAAGCAGGGAGGCACTTAATTTTTTAAAAAAAAAATCTATAACATCCAGCAGATATTTATGGATCTTTTATCTCTTTAGTGCCTCGGTGCCACAAATAAAAGCGCACAGGGCTTTTGTGAGACTGAAAGCAAACACATAAACCGCCCCTGCTGGTTTCCAGAAGGGTTTTGAGCAGAGTCACTGATCAGTCAGAATTTAATTAGACCAATTAAACCGTTCCTGGTGCTGTCGCTGAGGGCTTTGGATCTTCACCATCCCTTCCTGCATTGGAGATGAGGGTTAATACACCTGGGAAGTGCAGCCAGATTGAAGCAGGCATCTCACATCCGCATGTGGTTCTGGCTCTGGGCTGGATCCTGGCTGGCTGTGCCGACACCAGGTCTGGCTTTCCTGCATCCCCAGTCAATGCCAGGTAAATCCCTGGTGGTCCTGAGTGCCCTCAGAGGGTCCCTCTCCTGGGGCAGGGCAGGGTGAACGATGCTGCTGATCCCAGCCCTGGGATGCTCAACCCAGGAGGGGCTGGACAAGGTCGGACAAAGCTCTGGCATTCCCTCACGGTGTGAGCAGCAGGAATTTGGGAGATTGTGCCTTTGCCCCACAGGGAGCTGGTGCTGGCCACCCAGGAGCCCCTTCCCGGCCTGAAGGCTGGAGAGTCTCCAAGGTGCTTCCTGAGACACTGCAGTGACTCATCCAGCTTGGTTTTACTACGGATTAACTTAAGGAGTTTCCTTCAGCCCCTGCCCGCCACAGGAAAGCCCCAGTGCCTGGGGTGGCCATCCCACAGCAGGAGGAACTTTTGGAAACCCACATGTCCTGGTTGTAGGCCATAGCCCAGCTCCTTCTGGAGCGGTTTGGGGTCGGTTTGTGTTATCACAGAATCACTGAATCGTGGCATGGTTTGGGTTGGAAGGGACCTTAAAGCTCACCTGCCATGAGCAGGGACATTTCCACTATCCCAGGTTGCTCCAAGCCCTATCCAACCTGGCCTTGAACGCTCCAGGGATGGAGGTTTATTGCCCCCCCAAACCAGCAGCTTCCCCAAATGATCGTTTTCCATCAGTTCCTGTCAGCAGGATGTCCTCATACCCAGGTCTCACCCCCTCCTTGCTACCAGGGGACAGCCCTGTTTGGGACATATTTCTTCTTTGCTTTGTTTTTAAAATCTCCATGGGTCTGCAAACCTCTCCCCTGTTCAGAACTCCACTGATCCCACTTTAAACCCTCTCCAGGCCTTGCCCATCTGCACAGTATTAAGTTACTTGGGGCTTAAAACTCCACAGGAATCCCAACCGACCCCCCAGCCCATGCCTGGCTCACACAGGCATCCGAATCCCCTGCCTGCATTCAGAGAGGTGGGTTTTCACCCTGGCAGCCGGTTTGCATCAGTTCCCTGACAAAAAGTGATTTATTTTTTCCCTTTCCGCCCCTCAAGGGCCAGGAACGGGGTCAGCAAGCGAGGAACATCGTCCCCCTGGCCCTGCTGCTTGCTAGAGAGCTGGAGTTGTCCAATTCTCAGGCATCCCTGCCACTTATTTTGGTTGAACTGGGGGTTGAGCAGCCCTGTTGGCTCTGAACCTCCCTCCCCATCGTGTGCTTATGTAAATAGTTGGAAATAGTTCCTTTTTTCCCAGTGTGGCCATCAATGCCAGACGGTCACAGCCCTTCCTCCCCGAGGCTGAGTCACTCCTGGGGGTTGTGGACACCCACGGGCTGGTCTCTCCTTGGGTTTGGTTTTGGTTTTAGTTTGCTTTGCTCCAAGAGGGACAACCACAGCCAGATGTTTTGCTGTGTCAGCAGAATAAACCTCCACGTCTCCCTCCAGCTCTGGAGCTGTGGGAACTGGGATTTGTAGTGCCCTGGCTTGCCAAGATCTTCCTCATCCTCTGCTCTTGGGTTTAATGCCCAAACAGCCTCAAGACCACCTGGTCTTTGACATCTCTCCCCAGCACGTCACTGGAAACCCTCTGTGCCCACCACATCCTGGTTTTTCTTTGGCTCAGGAGCACAGGACAAATAGCCATGTCCTCGCTGCCTGTCCCTGAGGTGGATCATCCATCCCTTCCCACGGGCTCCAGCTCTTACCACCTCCCTCCTTGATCCATTTTCCAGCGTGCTTCTCACTCCCATGTCCATCCTCCGTGTGTGGCCATTCCCATCCGTGCTCTATTTTATCTGGTGTTTCTCCAGATTTTAGGAAAACCACGTTGTTTTTTTGTTCCTTTTTTTTTTTTTTTTTTTTAATCCCCCTCCGCTGCAACAACTCATTTCCATTTGCTTCTTCTCGTCTGAGGAGAAAGATCCTAGAAAACCTTTCGGATCACCTTGAACCCCCTGCGACCCTCTCTCCCCGCTTCCCAGCCTCCTGCAAGCGCTCGCAGCGCTTCCCACCCGGTTTCTCCCGGCTCCCGTCCTCGGGAGGCCGTGCGGGGAAGGGCTGCGGCCGGCAGCAGCCTCTGCCTTCCCATGCCCCTTCCCGACCTCCTCTGCCTTTCTGCTTCAGCGTTTCCTGCCTTATCACCTCCCCCAGCTGCAAATCCAGGCCCTGGAGCGGCGTAACGGAGCCCCCACTGTGGGATGGATGGATGGATGGATGGATGGATGGATGGATGGATGGATGGATGGATGGATGGATAAATGGATGGATGGATGGATAAATGGATGGATGGACCGAGGGGACTTTGGACCCGTCTTCTCCCTTCATCTTTCCTATCCCAGTTACACCATCCTGCATAACCCCAGGCTGGGAAACGGGAGGTAAATATTTTTCAGCGAGCCGTCCCCATCACACACCCAGCTCCGGAGCTGCTCCAGAGTTATTGCCGTGCCTCACCCGCTCCCGCATCCAGACAAAATCCCGGTGGTGCCTGCCAGGAGCGTGTACGCCACCCTTCCATTCGTGTGCCTCTCGGGGCTGCCCGGACTTGCCAGCATCCAGAAGAACGAGCCCTCGGGTGTGGGGCAGGGCTGGGAGCATCCCTGGCACATCCCAAGCACAACTCCGCCCCGGCTGCGGTGGGAACAAGGAGTGGGAGGAATCGCCCGGCATCATCGGGCCACCCCTTCCCCTGGATTTTATGGAGCAAGGGTGCAGCCTTTCCTGGTGTGGAACTCGAGAGGATCAGTGTAGAAATGAAGGATTGCATCACTTGTGCCAGGGGAGGTTTAGGTTGGGTATTGGGTAAAATTCCTTCGTGGAAAGGGTGGTCAGGCCCTGGCACAGCTGCCCAGGGCAGTGGTGGAGTCACCAACCCCGGGGGGATATAAAAGACGTGTACACGTGACACTTGGGACTCCCTGCATCCCTGGGCTACTTCCCCACTGCCTGCCTGACCAGGGATTGGGATCTAAAGGAGACCTAAAGTGGGCTCCAAGAGATCTGGAGATGGACTTTGGGCAAGGGCCTGGAGTGCCAGGACAAGAGGGAATGGTTTCCCACTGCGAGAGGACAGGGGTAGATGGGATATTGGGAAGAAATTCCTGCCTGTGACGGCGGGCAGGCCCTGGCACAGGTTGCCCAGAGAAGCTGTGGCTGCCCCTGGATCCCTGGAAGTGTCCAAGGCCAGGTTGGACAGGGCTTGGAGCAACCTGGGCTAGTGGAAGGTGTCCCTGCCCATGGCAGGGGTAAGAACAAGATGAGCTTTAAGGTCCCTTCCAACCCAAACCACTCCATGACTCTGTGACTTGTGGGTCCCTTCCAATTCAGCACATTCTGTGTTTCTGTGATTTGTTTTGCTTTTTGGTGGCGTTTGTTTTGGCAAACTCAGAATAGAGCAGTGCGAGGAGGCACAGGGCTGGCACAGGATGGATCCATCCTATGGGAGTTACTTATGGCCCTTCCACAGCTCAGTTAAACCCCAAAAACCAGGAGTGGCAGCCAAATATTAAATAAAAGAATTGACTTTTATTTAAAATAAAATGCATTTTTACATAGTCTTGAAACCACAGAGTACTGGAACACAACATGGGGTACTTCTCGGCATTGGGTGGGGGACGGGATCCTCCTCATTGGCATTAATGTGGGAATGGCTTAATGAACCTGGCCCCAGGTATCAGTTACTGAGGGTGTTGTGGCACAGCTCTGAAATCCCCTTTAACTTAAAGTAAAAATTCACTGAAATTGTATTTTTTTTTTTTTTTTATTCCTTGGTTTCCCCCCGTACCCCTTCCAGACATCCTATAGGTACTGCTGATACACAGGATCTACGCAATATTCTAGCTGGCTTGTGAGACTAGTTAACAAAACTGTACAATTTTATAAAATTTGTGTTTTTTTACATTAGTTACACAAAACCTTTACTTCATAGACCTTTTACTTCATATCGTAATGAAAAACTTTGCATATCAGAGGCAGAACAGTGACTATGCTGGTGAATACTAAAAGTGTCATAATACAATATGGTGTACAAATAAAATTAAAAAAAAAAAAAAGGACAATATAAATGATTATCAAAAGGCAAGTTAAACAAACAAAACCAAGCTCTAACAGAACTAACAGAAGGTCATCTTCAAGGCCACACAAAAGTCACGTCAGGCACTTGTCGCAAGTCCTGGTGTGTGTAGTGTGAGAGGAGAGATGGCAGCTCTGTTTAGGAATTAAAAACTTCCAAAAAGGACAAATGTACAGAATAAAAACACCACAAAAAAAAAAAAAAAAAAAAAAAAAAAAAAAAAAAAAAAAAAAAAAAAAAAAAAAAAAAAAAAAAAAAAAAAAAAAAAAAAAAAAAAAAAAAAAAAAAAAAAAAAAAAAAAAAAAAAAAAAAAAAAAAAAAAAAAAAAGAAAGAAAATAAAACACTCATGCATTAAACATGAAAAGTAGACTTCATATAGGTTAAGCCCTGGATGGCTTTACGAGAAGATGGCTTAGAGTATTCTCTCCAAAAATTGGCTTTTTTAAGTCAGTTAAATCTTATCCTGATCTGCCCACAAGGAATCTGGATCCACGACCCAGACCCGGTCTTGTTATAGCGAATTAACAGAAGTGCTCATTAGTGCACACAGGTTAACTGGTCTGGTAATGAAAAAAAAAAAAAAAAATTAATTCCAATGATAAAAAAAAAAAAAAAAGATACATTTCAAGCTTACTTTATTAAGCAGCATTATCTCAAAGAAGAACAGCTTTGGAAAAGTTAAATATTAATTAATATGGCCATGGGGGTTCCTCCGGGTGTTGGGGCGGGCGGGGCTCACACCCAGCCACTGGTCAGTTTGTAGAACATCTCCTCGTCTAAGCTCTCGTTCTGGTCCTTGGCCCGCGTGGACAGGAAGATGTACCCGCCGATGAACTCGTGCACCACTTTGCAATCCACCTCCGTGCAGATGAAGGACACCCGGACGTCGTCCGCGAACTCCACCGTCACCTGCAGCGTGAGAGCACAGCGTCAGCCCCCCGAACCCTGGCACCACCCCCCAGCCTTCCCAAAGCAACTCCTGCTTCCTTTCTCCCCGATTTTTCTGTCCACTCAGATGCCTCTTCTAATGCCTGAGTAAAATCTGGTGATGTCAATGCTGGAGCAAGTCCAGAAGAGGCCACGGAGAAGCTCTGAGGGCTGGAGCCCCTCTGCTCTGGAGCCAGGCTGGGACAGCTGGGGGGTTCACCGGGAGAAGAGAAGGATCCAGGGAGCCCTGAGAGCCCCTTCCAGTGTCTAACAGCGCTCCAAGAGAGCTGGAGAGGGACTGGGGACAAGGGCTTTGAGTGTAAGGACAAAGGGGAATGGCTTCCCGCTGTCAGAGGGCAGGGTGAGATGGGATATTGGGAAGAAATTCCTGACTGTGAAGGTGGTGAGACCCTGGCACAGGTTGCCCAGAGAAGCTGTGGCTGCCCCATCCCTGGAAGTGTTTTCAGGCCAGGCTGGACAGGGCTTGGAGCAACCTGGGCTAGTGGAAGGTGTCCCTGCCCATGGCAGGGGGTGGAACTGGATGACTTTTAAGCTCCTTCCAACCCAAAACTTTCCATAATTCTGTGATTCTATAAATGATGATTTGGCCTCGACAATCATTACAGGTCCCTTCAACCTTTACACATCCTATGTCAGCCAAACATTTAAATACAGAAATACCTTTTATTGCCTTTTTAAATTAATTTTTTATTAATTTTCTATTTATTTACCTCTTCTTTTATTTATTTAAATTACCATTACCCCTTTTTATTCCCCCATGACTCAGAAACAATCCCCCAGCATTTCCACCTCTCTGTGGTGGGCACGAGGCCTTATTTCCTTTACTTCCAGAGAAACACAGACCAGGCACAGACCTCTTGAAGTCTGAGGTTTCTTTCCAGTTTTCCCTGGTTTTCTAAGTTGATTTTTTTGCCTGAGAAACACTTAATGGGGGCTGGGGGAGCTCGTTTTGGAGGCACTGAACAGACCAACCGTTTATTGCTGCTCCTTCTCTTTTTGTCCCCCCATCACTGACAGCTCTGTGGGAGGGAGGGGGATTCCCAGCAGAGTATCCAAGCTGAATAATTGGGATATTGGGGCTTGCAACTGGGTCAAAACAATGAGGCAGAGGGGGAAGCTGAATAATTTTTCCAACAACCCTTAACGAGCCACAAACCGCAGGACAACAGCCCTCACGTAGCCCTGGCAGTTTTAATTAGGTGTGCTGCCAAAAAGGAGACCAAAAATTTGTGCATCCAATCGTAACAGCGGGGGAAAAGCCCATCTCAGAGCAGGGAAGTGCCTACTGTTTTCTTTTCACCACTTACTTAGATGAAAGCCTGAGTCCTACAGCAAATTAAAGGAACTTTGGTATGGATAAGGCCCTGTATATTTATGTTACTGGTTAGGATGAAGCCTGAGCATCCGTGCTGAGGTTTGATTTTATTTAACTGCCTTGGAATGGGCATTCAGAGACTAGAGAAAATCATTCCTGGCTGCAGTAAAGAAAGATTCAGGGTTTTCTGTCTTTATTTTAAGGGTCACACTCTACTCCACCAGCAGTTGGCACAAGCTCTGCTTGATCTCCAAGGAAGGTGGAAGAGGAGGGAGGAAAAACTGTATTACATTAATATAGTAACATCAACACCTGGAGTGCCGTGTCCAGCTCTGGAGGCCCCAAACAAGAAAGACATGGAGCTGCTGGAGCAAGTCCAGAGGAGGCCATGGAGATGTTCTAAGGGCTGGAGCCCCTCTGCTCTGGAGCCAGGCTGGGAGAACTGGAGGTTTTCAGCCTGGAGAAGGGAAGGCTCCAGGGAGACCTGAGAGCCCCTTCCAGGGCCTAAAGAGGCTCCAAGAGAGCTGGAGAGGGACTCTGGACATGAGCATGGAGTGACAGGACAAGGTGGGATGGCTTCCCACTGCCAGAGGGCAGGGATAGATAGGATATTGGGAAGAAATTCTTGACTTCTCAGGTTGCCCAGAGAAGCTGTGGCTGCCCCTGGATCCCTGGAAGTGTCCAAGGCCAGGTTGGGCAGGGCTTGGAGCAACCTGGGCTAGTGGAAGGTGTCCCTGCCCATGGCAGATGGAACTACGTGATCCCTTCCGAGACCCCAAACCATTTTGATCCTTTTCCATCTCCCTTCCAACACAAACCACTCCGGGATTCCACGATCCTAGGAGTGGCGCCTGTCTCAGGGACAGGAGCTGGGGGAAGAGGACAGGTAAAACGCCATCTCACCATCTTAATCTCCCAGTTCACGTTCCACTGCTTCATGTTGCTGAAGCGCCAGGTCTTGACGGCGTCTCCCGTGCTGGCATCCATCCGGATCAGCCGGTTGTAGGCGATGCCTATCAGCTCATCCTTCTTCCCACCCTGGAACCTGTGACAGGGCGAGGGATTAATGAAATCGAGCCTGTGATGCATGTAAATTCAGCAGCTGAGTTAACTTATTAAATAATTTACGTAAGTCGATGAGATTAATGCTTTTAATTTCAGTTCCAGCCCAACTTCCCCAGCTAAGGATGAGCATAAAGGTGTCCCTGCCCACGGCAGGGCGCTGGAACGAGATGATCTTCAAGGTCCCTTCCGACCCAACCCATTCCATGACGACTGAGTGATATTTAACCCGCCCCACTCATTCATTCAGGATATTCCTCCCGCCCAGGCCCAGCAGCCCCCACCGACCTGGCGTTGAAGTGCGTGATGCCGAACTCCGGCAGCGACTGCCAGGCTTGGATGAACCGCATCTTGGCCTCGATGAGGCTCATCTGGGCCACGTTCTGGTGGGCTTCCAGGATGCGTGCCGTGATCTGCGGGCGGCCAACACACCGGATTTAGGGAAGGGGGAGCACACCCCAGCGGCGTCGGGAGCCGCCGTGGATCCGAGCGCGGATAATCAACGGTTTCTACCCCCAAGGTCTTATTCCAGCCCCGGTTGCTCAGAGCCTGCTCCCCATCTCCAGACATATCAAAAGCAAATATAGATCTGGGCTAGTCTGGAGGAGAAAGGGCCGCTCGGGCTCTCGGGGAATTTTTAAGGCGCAGGATGTGAGCGAACAACAACAACAACAACAACAAGAAGGCAAATTTGTGGTGTAGGGTTTCCAGCTCCGCAGCATAAATCACTGGGGAACTGTTACAGAAAACCAAGCAGGGCCCAGGTTTCTCAGGGAGGGTGTAGGTTTTGTTAGTGTTTTCATCGCTGCTCTCTAAACCAGAGGGGTTCTAGATTATTTTTATTTTAAACGTAGCTTAATTTTTACGGTTGCTGTCACTTACCAAGTCTCTTACATAGCCTGGCTGTAGATGGCAAGGCGAAATGGAAAACAAAAAAAAAAAAAAAAAAAAAAAAAAAAAAAAAAAAAAAAAAAAAAAAAGGAAAAGGAGGCAGAAAGAAAAAAAAGCAATCAGAAATATGGCAACAAAGCAAAGAAAAAGTGTAAATTAACTGCAAACCAAAGTTCAAGCAAAAAAAAAAACCAAAAACAAAACACATGCACAATTCCTTAGGTGGAAAAGCAGCCAAAGTGAACGTGAGAGCAGAGACCCATCGCTCGTGCTGGCCCTGCCGGAGCACCGGTGTGATCCCAGCTGGGTCCTGGCATTGGTTTTGGTCCTGAGATGGCTTTGGTTGGATCTCAGGGAAAGGTGGGATGGTGGTTGGGCACTGAACAGGCTCCCCAGGGCAGTGGGCACGGCCCCAAGGCTGCCAGAGCTGCAGGAGGGTTTGGACAAGGCTCTCAGGGACAGGGTGGGATTGTTGGGGTATCCTGAGCAGGGCCAGGGGTTGGACTGGATGATCCTTGGGGGTGCCTTCCAACTCAGGGGATTCTGTGTTTCTATGGACCAGATGGATGAAGGGGAGGGTGAAGCTCCTGGCTTGGAAGAGAATTCATGTCCTCACATTCCTCCCTATGTCTCTAAACAAACTCCACCAGGCCACTCACTGACAGAGGAAGCTCAAGAGCTCACTATGAGCTCAAAAGCTCCTTTTATTTGGGATATGCAGAGAAATGATGGGGATGCTGCCCAGGGGAACAAGCAGATGTAGGATAACATCAGCTGGGCTTCCCAGGGATGTGTCTGCCCTTGCTGGCTCTGACACCAAACCCCAGAAAGGCACCTGAGAGCTGCGAAAACGCTTACTTTGGGTTGGTTTTTGTGTTTATTTGCGTTTGGGATTTGGTGCTTCCAAACCCAGCCTGCCAATCCTACACTACTGCACTGGCACATGGAGACAAAAACCACCAAGTGAGCTTGGGGCTGGAGAGGACCAAGAGCTTCTAGTAAACCCTCCAGCAAGGCCCACTGCCAATTCCCATTCCAGCACTGTTTGTGGGCTGCATGACCTCCTCCTTTTCCTTCTCCTCCTCCTCCTCCTCTTTCCCTGTGCCGGGGCCACTGAGGGACCCTTGCGGTCAAATTCCTTGCATTCCCACAGCCTCCATCCCTCATTCCTCCCAGCAAACATCCTCTGCTGCTCCAAGCTTTGCCTCTGGCCACAAGGAAAATCCTCCATCCGCTGTTTAGCTGATGGCTATGAGGGACCAGCATCGTGGCCGCTGTTCCAGCTGGGATCAGGACGAGGGCTCGTGCCCATCCCCACGATTCCATGGATTTTGTTTTTATAACCAGGATACCTGCACAGTAAGCAAGTTTTTCGAGCTAATATTTTTCCAGGTGCCTCAGTTTTACCGGAAACCCAGAAAGTATCACATATATGTTTAAAACAGTATATTTATGCAGCCTCTCCTCCATCCAAGTGGATATAAAGGCTTATTCAGAAGAATAATAAGGGCTATATAAAATATAACTCCACTGCCAGGAAACCACCGTGCTGTGCCAATAAAAAGTTACATTTTTCCTGCTTCTCTGACTTGCAGCCTTCTTCTGGGCTCGGAGAAATCGCATCCAGCCAAAGGCTGAAGGATTTAAGTCACCAGAAGGCCACAGAGCAACGCTTTACTTATTTTTTGCTGCTGTTCTGACATATAATGTCTTTCAGAGAGTCAGGCATTTATTTCCAGCGTGGAACAGTTCGGCCCTGTCCTGCAGGGATGGGATGGAGCGTGGAGTTCAAGCTCGAGTCACAGCAACTCAAAAAACGAAGCAGTGTTTCAAGGACTGGCATTTGGAAGCGGTGGAAAAGCAAAGAGAGGAAATATGCAAACTGCATTTCAGCCAAGTGTGGATAAAGCACTGCAAGCAACTGCAAACTCCGCTGATCCTGGGGATTTCTCCATGGATTCTGTGCGGGGAATGGGGTTGTAATCCCAGCACCGGGGATTGAGTCCAGCTGCGGGGAGAGATGGGGCAGCTCTGACCCCATCGCTCCACCATCACTCAACCAGCAGGAGACCAAACCATTCCCAAAATGCACTTGAAATAAATGTAACCCCGTTTTAAATGTATTTGCCATTAAGGACTCCGTGCTGCCCGGGCTGGGCACGGGGCACGTCACACAGTGCCCGGCGCAGTTCAGGCGGTGGGTGCCATCCCCCAGGTGCTGCATCCAAACCACGCCCCTCGGTCAGCCACGCCCCGTTTTAGTAACCACGTGCACCCCACAAAAGTGAAGACATCCAAGAACACGCCGTGTTAGACACCAGCTACCGCCAGAACACGTGCCCGGTGAGCCCAGACCACACCAACACCAACGTACCTGCTTGTTCTTGTACTTCTTCAGGTAGCGAGGGGACACCAGGCACTCGGGGTTGATGTCGGTGTTGATCTGCTCCGGGATCAGCTGCGGGTCTGGGTTCAGATGCTGCATCTTCAGGAAGGACAGGATGTTCTGCACCTCCATGCTGTAGGAGCTGTCGGCCATGGTCTTGCCCTTGGAGGCCAGGCGGCAGGCGGCCATCCAGCTGGCGTACTGCGTCTCCTGCGCCCCCCCCGAAAACGGAGACCCGCGCCCGTCAGAGCCGTGGGGGGACCACCAGAACCCCCCAGATAAAGCTCCAGGGAGCCTTCGTTCCCCTTCCAGCCCCTGGAGACTCAAACCTGCACCAGGACAGGCACAAACCCAGCCCAATGCTTAGACTGAAAACACGGGACAAAGCCAAGCAAGAGCAGGGAATGATTTTTTGCTCCGTTCTCACAGATGAGTGAGTTGGAATGCGTGTGGAATGATGAGATCAGACACAGATGAGTGCATTTTCTACCTGTTTTTTGCTTAACAGCACCTCATCATGAGCTGATGGTGGGGAAAGGGTGAAGAGGTGGCCCCGAGTCCAAGCGATACTTACGGTGTCGCAGCGCAGCCAAATTTCATTCATCCCCTCCGCCACCGGAATCAGGAGTTTGATGTTAAACTTCTGACCAGAGATGTTCACATCAGGGGTAACTTCACATCCTGCAATGAGGGAGCCAGTGTTTAACAGGGGGGATGAGGAATTATGTTTGAAAAAGAGGGGGAGAAAGCAAAAATAGGGAAAGAAAAGGGGAAGTTCTCCAAGTAGAGGGTCTCAGTGCTGCCAAAGGTTTGTACCACATCTTCCAGGGCATGAACACTCCACACAGCAGGGATAAAACCCACTGTCAGCTGTCTCTTTTTCCAAGTGACAGGAAAATTGGGGGGAAAAAAGCAAGACCTGATTTGAGAGAAAGGAAGCCAAAGCTAATGTACGCCCACAGGATCAACCTCATGGATCCTGCCTGGCATTGTCCAAACCCTACCTGAGCTCTGGCAGCTCTGGGGCAGTGCCCACTGCCCTGGGGAGCCTGTTCAGTGCCTGACAACCCTCTGGGGGAAGAACCTTTTCCCTGATATTTCCTTTCATGAAAGGGTATAAAAAGGTGACTGGGTGGGTGTCGACTCCCACCCTGAAACCCCTCTATGTTATTTATGGAAGGATATCCCTGGATCCCTGGGAAGTGTCCAAGGCCAGGCTGGACGAGGCTTGGAGCATCCTGGGCTAGTGGAAGGTGTCCCTGCCCGTGGCAGGGGGGGGTGGAACAAGATGGATTTGAAGGTCCCTTTAACCCAACCCAGTCTGTGACTCCATGATTTTGGCTGCTACAGCGAGCGGTGAGGTGTGAGCATCCCGCTCCCGGAGTCTGGAGAGAGCTCCAAGTGGTTGGATAAACACAGGGGGTGATGAACTGAAGCAGCCAAGTCCTCCCGGGCGCCGCTTCAACGCCGCCTCCGAGATTTTTTAAAAGTGCCGTCACAGCAGATCTGTCAAAAAAGCTCCCAAAAAGGTCCTGCGGGCCGGGTCTCGCTCCGACAGCAGCCCCGGGGTCGCTTGGCATCCCGTCTGCTCCTGCCTCCACGGGGAAAACAAATGAGCTCTCTCTGCAGCTCCGTGGCTGCCGGAGCAGGAATGTTTAACTTGACACGAGGAAAGCCAGCAGCTGTAGGAATTTAAAAAGCCAAGGCTTGCAGTGAGGCTGCTCCCAACCGGCACAGGGAAGAGGAGGGAAAATAATCTAAGGCAGCAGAAGAGGAGAATGGTCTGTTCTTCACAGCTTAAACTCTTTTTTTTTTGTCATGGGAATTGTGTTTGAACTAAGTATGACATAAAGAAGGGCAAGTGAAGGTGTCCCCAACCCTGGCACGGGGTTGGAATAAGATGGTCTTGAAGGTCCCTTCCAACCCAAACCATTCCATGATTCTGTAAGTTGTCTCCTCATGCTACTCAGGAGCTGCTGGTGCTTCCCTGTGGGATCACACTGCCTAGAAGTCCAAGTCTGTGCCACACCATCAAACCCAGTCGCCTCATTCCTTTAAAACCATCTACCCAACCCTGGGAAGCCACGCCGAGGCGACAAAGCAGTGGGAAAGCAAGATGCAGGGAGGGGCAGCCTATGACTGGAATAAAAAGCAGCTTCTCTTCCGTCACCTCACCCTTTTCTTACCTCTCAGGTTCATCTGGTGAGCAGGAGTCCCGTTGGATTCCTCTTTGCTTTTATAGCAGGAGATCGAGGTATCTTTGAAGGTGCACCAATAGGGCTTGTAGCCTTTCAACGTCAGCTTCTTGGGCCTGCCAGACACACAGAGGGACACCACGCTTGGTTTAAGCTCCTAAAACAAGCTGCTGCACCAGGAAACACCTTACTTCACCCCTGGGAAACCTGCTGTCAGCAGCCTGGGTTAATTATTCCCACCCTGGGGACAGTCCCTGCCCAGGGGGCTCAGCCATCCTTCCACCGCAGAGTTGAGCTCCAGGGGCAAGTCTGGGCTCTTCGATCCCACGGGGGTAATTTGGGGCAAGGTTGTGGGGGGGGAAATGGAGAGCTGTGTTACAAAAACAGACAGTGCCCACGAACCGCTGGAAAGCACTTTGCTCGAGCTCTGAAGGGAAGCGGCACTTCCAAGGACTCGTCAGCCGCACACACGCACGAGCGCACCCGGTTTGCACTCAAACACCCCACAGCCCAAAAGGTTCGCTAGAAAACTATGGAAAAAGTGGATTTTGCTTGATTATGCAGGAGAGCTGATGGCCCTGCAAACCTGCAGCAACAGCAAAGCGACCCCTCGGCACGGTGGGACCCTGAGCTCATCCCACCACCAGCCCAGGGCCTTTGCAGAGCTCCGAGTATTTGAATTTTTTTTAACCTTCCTTAATTTATAAACCTTATTCTAAGGCTGGATCTGCAGCCTGTCACGCATTTCTCACATTTCCATCCCGGAAACAGCTGCTGATCTCTCATCTGCAGGGATCAAATATGTGATGGCCCCAAATTGCTTGTCCTCAGGGATCTGCACTTCCATTTCCAAGCAAAAGCGAGCTGGGGGCTGCTCAGGACAGCAGGAAATCAGGGAGGCGGGGAAGAAACAGTGTCTGTCTGAATCTCCCTGCTCCCACTCCTCTGATGGACACCTGAGCTGGGGCATCTGCTGCTTCCTCCTGCCCTTGCTGGATTTCCTCCTCCTCCTCCTCCTCCAAAAGCCCTGGCACACACACAGCCCTGTCCTGGGAAAACTATACAAACCACAATTTCCTTTGAAAGCTGCTTCCCACCATGGAAGAAGCCACCAGCCTCCAGCCAAGCCATCCCACACGTGCAGGTTTTTCCATCTTTATGCCTTAATGCATCTTTATTGTCTTTGGATTTTTCGGGGGGGGGAGGCTCCTTTAAATTGCAGGAAGGGCATTTTGATGCTGGATATAATATACGGAGATACTGGGAAGGAATTTTTGGCTGTGAGGGTGGTGAGGCCACGGCACAGGTTGCCCAGAGAAGCTGTGGCTGCCCTTGAAGTGTTTCAGGCCAGGCTGGACGGGGCTTGGAGCAACCTGGAATAGGGGAAAGTTGGAACAAGATGGGCTTTAAGGTCCCCTCCAACCCAAAACATTCTGGAATTCTATGATTTTGGCTGGCAGGGGAGAGAGAAACATCCCAACTCTCTGCAGCAACACCAGGCACATATAGGGACATAATTTACAGGAGCTAAATCTATGGAATATTAGGGACATGTATTGCAGCTCCTCTCCAAGCGAAGTGTGACAAGAGACACACCCAAAGCTGGGCCAGCTCTGAACATCCATTTACATTGGATTTCTGGTACTAAAATACCTCTTGACCCCTGTTTTTAGGAGCAAATGGAATTCTCTGTTCAATTTGACAGCTTTAGGTCCCAACCCCAGGGGTTTTAGGCTTTCAGTGGGAGAGGAACCGGCAGCTTCTGGCTGCTCCATCTCCTGGCGCTCCAATTTGCAGGCAATTAGCTCCCTGAGTCGTGCCTAATTTTTATTGGCAAATCAGCAGATCAAAGGAAAGAACAAGTTTTTTGTTTGTTTGTTTGTTCAAGGGAGGGAAGAAACACCCACTGAGGGGCTGCAGGCCTGAAACTTTGCCCTGATTAAGCCAGACCACAAGCCCAGACAGACGCAGAGACCTTATTAATTTGCCTTTGGAGAGGGAAAAGGAGTTTTTCAGAGCTCTGAGTGCCAGGTTCTGGCTCCAGAACCAAACAATTAATAAAATAAAGGTTTGTTCCAGAGCTATTTTGCTGCCTACAGCCTTTTCCCCCTCCCCATCCTTCAGTTCTGCTGTGAAATCTCATCACTATTCCCAGTTTCCAGAACTTTCACTGTATCCCTGGCTGCAGCCGGCAATAAATTGCAAAAGACAGTCGTGGCTGCCAAAAATTGTTACTCCAAGCCCAGACGCTGCTGTTCCCGGTTTCCACGTTCCACCATCTCAGTCAAAGCAAACTTAAACAAAAAAAAAATCCCTAAATCCTGAGCAGAGTCAACTTAACCTGCTCCTTCTGGCACGGAGAGGGTGGAGAGACCAGCTGAGGATTCATCCTGCAAACCAGGAGAAGCGTTTGAGGAGGGTTTTTAGGTCTCACTCCTAATTTTAGGAGGGTTTATCATCTTTCAGGATGGTTTTATTACCTCCTGGGCAGTGAATGTGTTAAAGAAATAGCCCAGCACACGCTGCTGGCTATGGGCTGCAGCAAACTCTCCCTGCGGGAAAACATCTTGAATTTTGTATTTAAGAACTAATCAACTTCAAATATTGAATATTTTGAATAACTTATGGCCGGGACATGAAAAAAAGAAAAAAAAAAAGGATGTTAAGAGGTAGGACCATTAATTATTCATTGCCATTACCAGTTTCACAAGCAGCTCTTCCCATCAGCACTTACTTGAAGACTTTAATGTAGTCGGCGAGCTCCGGGATGGAAGTGATGTCACCCTGAAAATCAAAGATCATCCCATTCACCCGCCTGCCCCAGCAGAGCCAGGATGGTGGATCTGGGAGGGAAGGGATGTGGGTGCAGGGGAGGAAGCCGGGAGCAACATCGCGGGCCGGGGGGGGTGAGGGGGTGGGAGTCACGGAACTGCTCCCGAGAAAGCCCCAGAGCCGCTTCCCGGGAGAAGCAAGAGGTGAAAAAAACTCCATGGCACAGCCCAGCAGCGCTGTTTGGAGAGCAGAGGACAAGGTTTTTTTTACTTTCCTTTGAGGAATTCCTGCTGCTGCTGCCGGAGCCAATTCCCACCCGCGAGGTCACGGGCGGTCACCGCGGCTCGTGTTCGCACGGGGATTTTTCTCCTCCTTCGGTTGTTTCCCTACGCTCCAAACAGAAGGAGGAGATGCACCTCCACAGAGAACTGGCTGGAGAAGGGATTTCTGCGGCTAGAAGGACTTCCCCCTCCAGGATTTTTAAATATTGAGTTTAAATTCGCTTTCTGCACGTGGAAAACGTACAGGGGGGCACACTCGCAACTCCCAGGAGCTGAAACTTGAGGGATAGAGAAAGGAAGGATTGCTCCAGCAGCTTCCAGTAGCAGGACAGTTTACTTTCAGTCTGCAGTGAACTGTTTATAGATACCACAGGGAAAAAAAATGCGGAATCTAAACAAACAATCCAGTAATTGCCCATTATCCGTATTCAATTACTCGAATGCATCTGGAAATGGCTCCTGCTCGCAAGCCCTACGGAAAGGGATGGGGGTTTTTTTTTTGGATGAATCATTGTCCTCTGCGCTCTTATCTGGCAGGGTTTGCTCCTTAGTGGCATGTTCCAAATCTGGTTTTGAGAAGAAATTAGAAAACATGTCTCGGTGATAAAAACTTGTCGCCGTTTCTGTCGCGGCCACTGCTTTTTTACTGCGAAGCTCTGCTTGTTGTTAATGCCAGCACAGCATCTGAGCGTGGATGTAACTTCAAAAAGACCCTTCATGAACACGTAAAAAAATACTATATGAAGTGTAAAACCGGAAAATTGCAGGGATTTTAGGGTTGGAAAGAACTTTAGATGAAATTTAGAGACGGTATAAATGTGCAGAAAGCCTGGAAAAGCCGTGCTGGGCCAAGGCTGACAGGACCGAGTCCTTTTAATGCACTTTCATTTTAAACCTTTACATTTTTAAAGGTGGAAAACGAGTGTTAAAACAGCATATTTAGCACACCCCCCTCAAAATACAGACATAGGCTAAAATCCAGTCCAATAAAAGTAAGGTTTCATAAGCATAAATTAGTTCTGAAAATCACAGCAGTAGTTTTAGGTGCTGTAAAACGTGAATTAGAAACAGAGGAAGAGAAACCTCAGCGTGGAGAACTCAGTATTTGGGAAAGTCACTAGTGAGGACAGAAATCACATCCACTTAAATTTAGTTTTCCATTATTTCATTGGGAAGGTGGCTTGGTGTAGGGAGGGTTCAGTAAGATCCTGGTTCCTTCAGGACTTCTCCAGAGGCTGCCTGTGGTTCCCTGCCCCCAGATCTATCCCTCAGTATCTAAAAAAACCCCCCTATTTTAAAGCAAATATTATTGGGGGTCTACGTTTTGTGTCGTTTCACTGGGCTGGGGGAAACTTCCTCATGGAGAAACAGAAAAATAAAAAGGGAGAGGAAGGAAATAAAAAAGGTTGGAAGCCTGGAAAGATTCCCAGGAGGGAAGGAGGGGACACACAAGCCACCCTGCCACGGTTGTGCCTGCAACCCTTACCAGGATCGTGGACGTCTTGCCCCCTTCCAAGGTGATTTCCAGATCCGAGAGCGCAGCGTCCACCTCATCCACGTCCTTGTCGCTGTTGTTCAGGTGGTTTTCCGAGGACATGATGGACAGCTTGTTGATGTGGTACTGGAAGGCAAGGCACAGGAATGACCATCTTGGACGTTTTCAGCCCAAGGAGTCGGTGGCACAACCCCCGAAGGACCTCTCAGGACCCCTGGAGGTCACCTGGTCCTACTCCTACACTGGGCACCTCTGTCCACCTCCTTCCCTGCCTCCCATCAGGTATTTATGTACTTAGTAAGATCCCCCAGAGCCTTCTCTTCGCCAGGATGAACAATCCTAGCCTTTCCTCACAGGGGAGGTGCTCCTGGACCTTCATCATCCTTGTGGCCCATCACTGAGAGCTCTCTCCAGTCTGTCCACGTCTCTCTTGCCCTGGGAAGCCCAGAACTGGACGCCTAAATATGCTCCAAGAGAGCTGAACAAGGGCCTGGAGTGACAGGACAAGGGGGAATGGCTTCCCACTGCCAGAGGGCAGGGTCAGATGGGATATTGGGAAGAAATATCCACCCTGTGAGGGTGGAGAGGTTGCCCAGAGAAGCTGCAGCTTTCCCATCCCTGGAAGTTTCCCAGGCCAGGTTGGACAGGGCTTGGAGTACCCTGGGCTAGTGGAAGGTGTCCCTGCCCATGGCAGGGGGTTGGAACAAGATGGACCAAGTCCCTTCCAACCCAAACCAGTCTGTGATTTCATGTCTTTGCATCTGTTTTTTTTCCCCCAGAAAACCAAAACACCCACGAAATCTCACAGGGAGGACTGTGCCCAACCCACTCTGCAGTGCTGGGATGTAAACTGAGTCATTATATTTCTGTTTTCACTCGTTTTTTCCTAGGAGGGGCCCTTGGAGCAGACAGCCCTGCTCCTGAGGGGGACATTCCTGCATCCTACAGCGACGAGTCGTGCCAGACCACACGGAATAAATGCCTGCCATCCGTCCCGCAGAAGTCAATAGCAGGTGTAGCATTTATGCCAAATCGCACCGAGTGTTTCACAAAACAGAGAAATAAATAGTTCTGGGAAACCCACAGATTATCCCCAGCTGTTTTGGGGGGGGCACAGGGCCAGAAAGGCACAGTTCAGTAACCCCGGGTACGTGTTGGGAGGGTTTAAGAAGTGCAAAGCTAAAAGTTAAGATAGATATAAACAGGTTTGGTAAAAGAAGGTCAAGTTACTTTTCATGAGAAATAATCAGCAGCAAACATTTAAATTCAAAATAAATCTAATAAACTCAAGTGAGGATTAGGAGATGGGAAATGATCCAGCTCCTACCAGCTTGAGAAGGCCGAGCCCCCACTGAAGACAAGGTGAGCCTTAAAATACATGATTTTGGGCTGAGGGAGAGTAGGTTTAGATAGGATATCTAAAGGAATTGTGAAGGAATTGTTGGCTGTGAAGGTGGGCAGGCCCTGGCACAGGTTGCCCAGAGAAGCTGTGGCTGCCCCTGGATCCCTGGAAGTGTCCAAGGCCAGGTTGGATGGGGTTTGAAGCAACCTGGGCCAGTGGAAGGTGTCTCTGCCCATGGCAGGGGGTGGAATGAGATGGTCTTTAAGGTCCCCTCCAAGCCAAACCAGTCTGTGATTCCACAGTTTCACTCATCAGGTTACTCCATGGAGAAATCTGCAAAGCCGCAAAATCCAGTCTGACCCAAACCCTCAGCGTCCCAGGCCGTGTCCCACCTGCAGTGCTGCGAACATCATCATTTCCTCCTCCGTGCACTCGATCTCCTCCAGCAGGATCGCCCACTTGGACTGCTCGTACAGCTGGTTGATCCTGATGGCGTCGTACTGCGGCACAGCACAGAAACACGGAACGGTCGGAAAACATGCGAGCCCAGCACCAGACAAACCACCTCATCTAGTGCAAGGTGTCCCTGCCCATGGCAGGGAGCTGGAATGAGATGGTCTTTAAGGTCCCTTCCAACCCCAACCATCCTGGGTTTCTCCGATCTCCCAACCCAACGCTTCGATCCAAGATGAAAATCCTCTGCCACCAAAACGAAGTGGCTCTAAGGACCCTCAGAGCATCTCCAGCGACACCCAAACATTAGGAACCTGACACACAGGGAGCACAAATCCTGTGTTTGATTCCTGCACGACCCATTTTCAAACTCCATTCAAATTTCCATGATTTTTGGGAAGGTTTACCAACACAAAAGCACGTCAGAGAGACCCAGGAATCCTCTGCTCCAAGGCTCTGCCCGCAAGGTGCAAGTAAAACAAGTAGCTCTGTACCTTTGGATTCAAGTCAAAAAAGCTGTAGTACTTGAACCGGAGTAGCAAAGCCTCATTTTCCTTCACCTCCTGCTCCATCAGGGATCGGGACGAATCCAGCCACCTGCAAATTGCCAACAGGGGGATAACACACACAAAACGCTCGGGCGACGCAATTTAAAACCAGCAAAAAAAAAACACCCCACCCCAAATCCTTGACTCCTCGACTCACCCTTGGTTGATTTTGGCTTTATCGAGCAGCGTCTGGGGCTTGTACATTTTTGCTAAGGACTCTGGGGAGGTGACGGGCTGGCTCACGGCCAGGATTCCCGGATTCCCTTCGGACAGGGCGCTGTCGCCGAACCAGGCCGAGGTGGGTGACAGGGGGCTGCCGTCGTGAGCGTCGTAGGTCGGCGTCATCGTTTTGCTATACAGTCCTGGGCTTGAATAGATATTTCCTACCAGCAAGGGGGATAAAAACTGGGAGTTAGCTTCGGGACTAGCCCTGCCTTGCTCCCAACCCAGCCAACGGATGAGAAGCCTTCCCTTTTTTTCCACCATTATCTTTCCGCAAAGGGAAAACGCTGCGCTGCTTGTTCTCCCACGGAAAGCCGTCCCTCTCCTCTCTCTCTCTCTCTCGGCTCTTCTCCAAGAGCAAAACTGATGGAAAACTCATTCCATCCCACACGGTGGGAAAAGACACAGGTCTCCCACAGGGCCGGGACAATCCTGCCCCCTGAGTTTCTGTGGCACCTGGGACATGAGTGGCCCCCGACTTACCGGCATTACCTGTTGCTTAAAGATTTTGGGAGTCAAAGGTTTTAGAGGAGCAGGAAAATAAACTAAGGGTGCAGCCAAAGAGACCAGAGGCAGAGGGCAAAAGTCCTACTGAGGTGGAGCTCACCTTTGACGGGGCCGATGTAAAGAATATCGGTGCCTATGGAGAGGGAAAAGAAAGGAGGGAAGTGAGAAGGCGAGAGAAAGTCACCCGGAGAGCAGGAAAGGACAGAAGCCAAAAATGGGCATTTTTAGAAGGAGGCAGAACAGCTCAGGTGAGGTTGAACCACCCAAATGGAGTGCTGGCAGCGGCGCTGGTGGACTCGGCAGCAAAGCAACCGGAGTGGCTTCACGTTATTCCACTCGTGTTACGGGAACAGCCGGGCACGGAAACGCGGCGCTTCCCGGATGGAAAAGCTTGCTGAGATGGCCACGCACACTTGGCATTAATGTGCTGAGCGAGTGGTGCGATGTGTTGTGCAGAACCGACCCTGAAGCACACGCTACTCGCAGCACCCCCCCCCCCCCCCGAAGCTCTGCGGCTCGGACGGATTCAAAGCGTTTCGGAAAACCCACCCAGACCTTTCAAAACGAGCGTCTTCGAAGGGAAGCGAGCCAATCACAGCTTGGTATCTCACCCCCCAAAACAGCTGAGGGCTGAACAGAGAGCTGCCTCGTCCCTGGGAGCGTTCCAGGCCAGGTTGGATGGAGCTTGGAGCAACCTGGGCTACTGGAAGGTGTCCCTGCCCATGGCAGAGGGTGCAACTGGATGGGCTTGATATCCCTTTCAACCTAAACCGCTCTGTGAAACAGCCCCTGTTCACCTCACAAGAACATTGATTTTTACACTGATATAAAATTTGGATTTTCAAAAGAAGGGAGGATCAACCACCAGGTCCTAATGCCAGGAATTCCACTGCATACGAGTTCACTGAGCATCATCTGCTGGGCATGAATCTGCCCACCAGGACCTGGAAGGTCTGACAACAAACTGGATTTTTGGGAAAGGGCCGTGTCCTTTTTAAATCACCACCCTGTTCAGACATGCAGTTCGAAGCATCTGAACTCTCCCTCCCAGAGCACTGCTGGGGGTGTTGAAGGCGGTGACAGGGTTGAGATGCCACCAACAAGGTCATTTGTGCCACCTCCTGCTGCTCTGAACCGCCATGCTCCACCTCCTCACTCCAAACCATCCCTCCTCCCTCGCTGCACAAGGAATGGCACAAAGCTGAGCTAGACTGGAAAAGCCCAAGACCAAACAAAAAAAAAAAAAAACCCTTTCCAAACCCTCATTTTTTCACGATGGGTATCTCAAGGAGCAGGAGGAACTGTCTGAATCAACAGCATCGTGCCCACAACTGCCAGCTTTATGGCTAGGAAACACCAAGTAATACAGAAATGGGATTCTAAACTGCCTGACGGGATGGAAAATAAAAGCAAAAACCATCAAACAAGAAAACCACCAGGATGCTTTTAATGTCCCTCCTAGTTCTGCTGGCATCCCGGTCTGCATGGGACCAGTGAGCACTGTGGGTTCCTCCATCAAGACAGACCCAGGCACGAGCAAAAAAAGCAGCAGAAATGGTGAAGGGATGGAGATATCCCTCCCTTTCAAGCTTCACACTTGCAAGGAGAAGGCCAGGGATGATTTGCCAGGTACTTAGACCAGGTACTTACACGTTGGGAGTTGGACTCGATGATCCTTATGGTCCCTTCCAACTTGAGATATCCTATGATTCTATGGTTATAAAAGCAGCAGAAAGGTGCTCTCCCCATGGGCTGTTACAACACTGGAGCAGAGCAGTCCAACAAGAACCAGCAATAAACTCCCATCACCATCCATCAAACACATCCCGAAGGATGCTCCTGCCTCCTCCCCATCCGTCCTTGCAGTGCCTCAGTCTCAGCCCTCACGTGGATCAAGCACACAGGGCTGAGCATCAACTGGACCAACAACAAAAAATAATCCCGCTTCTTGCCCCAAATTGGGCAGGTTTTTCCACGGATATCCCCCCACACTCCTCTGAGTGAGCGTTCGCTCCACCACAGCAAAGCTTCCCCTTCACTGTTCCCCTCATCACCTTCTCCAAACACCTGAAACATCTCAAAAGAGGCTTCCCTTGAGAAATGTGCCCTAGGCCAGGCAATGTCATGGAAAGTTCCAGCAGAAATAGCTACAAATTTGGTTAATTAATATAAACAAGTGACTACAGGTCTTCTAATGGAAAGAGTTGGGCAACACGGCCTGTGGGAGTATTGGCAGCTCCGCCGACCGGGATTTAAATGGTTTCGCTGCCAGGTTTGGGATGCTCAGCGACAAAACACCCCCAGTACATCTCCACACACTGAAACCAGCACATCCTGAATTATTAACTTGTTTTTCAGAAGCATTCAGCACACGGACTGGCGTTGGAACATCGCTAGAAACAGTTTATTCAGACTGAAACCACGACTTTTATCTAACGGCACCTGAACGCGCAGGAATTCAACCTGCTGCAAGTGATTTCATTCACAAGGGAGAGCAAAACCAGCAAAGTGACTCACTGGAAGAGCAATAAATAATTTAAACAAAACCCTCTCTACTGCCTACATTTCCCCCCAAAGCAGGCCAAGTATTTCCTATTAATCCAACAGAGATGCTCTCCCTGAACACTTGGCTTTTGGAAAGGCTTCATACAGACCTTCAGGATGAAAAAGCCAAATGGAAATGAAAATTGGCTGGAGCCTTGCCCAATGTCTCTGAGCCAGGAGTGGGAGAGGACTAGCCCAGAAGCATTTTTAAGTAACTGAGAAGACAAAGAGCAGGATCAGAGCAAAAGAGGGATTATTTTTCCCTTGCCAAGATCCGTGCTGATGGTTTGATGGGGAGCCCGTGGTGCAAAACCCTCTCTTCCTGCAAGTCCAGCGCCACCACCGCTGGCATTAACCACATTCCATGACCTTCCCTCCAGTTAATTTAACACCAATTAATACAAGTTTACTGAATTTCAAGATTTTTTTTCATCAAAGCTGCCCTGCTACCCTCAGATCGTTGGACTTAAACCTGAGAGCTTTGGCAGCCAGACACGTCTCGCCCGCCCGGCAGCGCCGCCGACTCCGCAAGTCCACTTGGGATAAAGTGCTCCCACTTGGCCAAAATTATGGTTTAAACTCCTGCCATTTGCCTTCAAACACCAGACTTCCAGCAGCCACGGAACAGAGCTGAAAAAACCCTCTGCCTGCAAACACCTGCATCAATCTGCTGCCCGGGGTAAGAGATGTTACTCCATCAAGGATGTTTCTCCATCAGAGGGATGTTATTCCAATCAGGGACGTTACTCCACCAGCAATTCTCTTCCCAGGGCTGCTCTGGTTCTGCAGTTCAGGCTGGCAAACTACCACACAGCAATAAAAGGGGTTTCTTTGAGCATTACAAGCCATAGCTACACACTTAACATAAGGCAACACTAATGCAATTAATAAAACGCTGCTCTTGCTGGGTCATAAATACAGAGCAGGACAGTGGTACAGCCTAAAACACACCTGGAATCTGACATCAGGAACGATTTTCCTTAAGAAAACCTCTCAGTAACACCACCTGAGTGGTCACACTCGTGTTCTGGTTTATTTTATGAAGCCTGGTGTTGTTCTGCTCCCCGAAATGCGTGACAGCTCCAGACATGCATCCGTGACTGAGTGCTGCAGCCCTGCAGGACTTGTGTCATTTATCTGGTGTCTGCTTCTTGCACAGACCTCAAGGAATTAAATCAGACTGATATTGCAGTGCCATTCTTCCCCCTCTCCCGTTTTTTTTTTCCTGGCTCACCAGACCCCGGCGTGATCAGAGGACCCTCCAGCTCAAAGGCGTCGTCTTCACACTGATCATCCAACTTCTTCTTTTTTTTCTTCGATGGATCTCTGGGTTTCCTCAAAAGGGAGAGTTCTTCTGGATGCCTGATGTCTGGGGAAAAAATGGACCACTTTTATAACAGTAGGAGGGGGAAAAAAAAAGGGGGGAAAAAGGGGAACAAAAAGAATATCCTTCCGTTAGGAACAACATCCAGCAACGTTCAGTATCTCCCTTGGCTGATTTTCCTGCTTTGCAACGGTTAAAAATCAAGTTGAGAGCATTTTCCCTGCAAGCCCGTTGGAAACAAGCTCTGTCCTTGGCTGGAAAGGTAAAAGAACATTTGGATAAAATGTGGAATTTCCCAGGCACAGCCACTCAAATGTAAATACAAGCACTGGTAGAGGCTGTGGCAGAGCCTGGTACCACTTGCACCCATTAAATAAGTAAATATAAACACAAACTATATAAAAACATTATTATCAATAATATATAAAGACAATGTATAATAATATAGAAGTATAATAACACATAATAATATACAAAAAAAATAGAAGTAGAAATACAAATAGACATAGAAATAGAAATCAGCGTGTAGTAACAGGGCAGGTTCTCCCACTTCCATAGGAGCAATCCAAGAGTTAAGCCATTTATTTACACAGCTACAGGCTGGACCTTAAAGCCTGTATTTAAGGCACACAATTTTTAAAGACATTTTGCTTCTCACAGCAAATCTCTCCCATTTCCCTGCCCAGGACCAGCCCGAATAATTCAAAAACCATTTAAAATGAGGAGCATCTCAGTGTGTTTGTGTTTTAAGCCATGGGGAGCAAAGAAAAAAGAGGATTTTAGGGTCATTTCCCACTAAGGCCGTACTTTGGGTTTGCTGCAGTTGCTTCCAAGCGGGAAGGAGCTCCCTGGGAGAGCAAAGCCCACTGTCCATTGTAGCAATGAAACCACCAAGAGACTGGAGCAGGGCCAGGGGTCCCTCACTGGCACTGAGAAAACCAGGAGGGGGGAAAACCCTCTGTCTGCTCTAAACTGGGCTCTGCTGATTTGTGGGAACTGACCTGGAAAAGCATTGACCTGGGCATGGAGCCATCCCACTGCAACGGGGAGAGGCTGCAAAAAGGTTGGAGAGTTCTGAAATACAGCTTGGGACTGGGAAAAGACAGGCTGGGAGAGCTGGGGGGGTTCACGTGGAGAAGAGAAGGATCCAGGGAGACCTGAGAGCCCCTTGCAGGGCCTAAAGGGGCTCCAGGAGAGCTGGAGAGGGACTGGGGACAAGGGATGGAGGGACAAGACACAGGGAATGGCTTCCCAGTGCCAGAGGACAAGGTTAGATGGCATATTGTGAAGGAATTGTTGCCTGTGAGGGGGTGAGGCCCTGGCACAGGTTTCCCAGAGAAGCTGTGGCTGCCCCTGGATCCCTGGAAGTGTCCAAGGCCAGGTTGGATGGGTGTTGGAGCAACCTGGGCTAGTGAAAGGTGCCCCTGTCCATGGAATGGGGTGGAATGAGATGGGCTTTAGGGTCTCTGACAACTCAAACCAGTCTGGGATTCTATGCTGATTCCATGGAAAGGAGATTGTGGCACATGCCTGAGCCTGGAGCTGGCTGCAACCAGCCTGTATTTTCCCACCCTGAGGAATGCTGAAGGAGACAAGAAGTCATTATCCTAACGAGGGGCAGTTACAGGGCTCAGATCTCACCACGTGCTGGCAGCAGTGGGAGCTCCCTGTGCACTCCCAGGCTCAGGACTGTAATTAAAACTGGAATTTGGCAGCACCTGACCCCAGCAGGACAAACCCCCAGGGCAGATGTGGCTGTGCTGGCTCGTGCTCGCCCACACCAGCGTCTTTCCTTACTGAAAACAGGCTGGAAAATATCCAGCTGGGAACTTGCCCCGTCCAGGTGACCTCCAGGGATGGATCCCACTGGTCCTGGTGTTCCTGAATCCAGAGGTCGGGCACGTCTGGATTTAACCATCTGCAGGTCTCCCATCCCAAACCGTCACCCAGCAAAGCTTTAACTTAAGCTTTGTTTTTATTTATATCTTTATGGATGCTTACTAAGATTTTTATTTATTTTTTTATATAAGCTTTATTTAATTTAAGCTTTAATTTTATTTATGTATTGATAAATATTTATTTCAATCACATAACAGGATCCCAGAATGGTTTGGGTTGGAAGGGGCCTTAAAGCTCACCTCATTCCACCCCCTGCCATGGGCAGGGACACCTTCCACTGGATCAGGTTGTTCCAAGGCCCATCCAGCCTGGCCTTGAACAATTCCAGGCCAAAAATACATAGATTTATCTCTATATGCAGATAATATAATAATATAAGTATGTAGATTTATCTCTTTATAATGTATAGATATTTAAAATCTATAAAATATTTAAAATTTATAGATTTAAATATGTTTTATATATATAATATATACAATATATTATACATATATAAATACATATATGTTCTATATAGAGATTTTTATAGATATCTTTATATTTTATTTTATATACAAACTTTATTAGATTAATTATTTCTGTTTATATATTTATTATTATAATATTTATCCGTTTTATTTCTTTATATTGATAAACTTCATTTAATTTCAGCTGTAATTTAACACCGATTTATTAGTCCTACACACACATCACCCCACTAAACCCCATCCCTGCACCCACCGGTTTCACTGCCCAACTTTTTTGACCATTTCTAGCAATAAATACCCAGAGCATGAATCCAGCCAGCTCCACGCATTCCCATTTATCCCAGCTGGCTTACCTCATGGAGGAGGAATCTGCTGGGACAACCGGGGTCACGCGCAGGGGACAACAGGCAGCAGAGCCTAAAACGAGGAGTTCCCCTGGTATTTTGGAGCAAGGTTTTAGACTCTGCTGTTTATTTATGGTGCATTAGCAACTGATGGAGCCTCTCAGCTGGAAGCACTCAGGGAGGCCGGGAGGAGGGCTCCGGGCCAAGCCCGGCTCCTGGAAGCAATCTCTTGGAGCCGGCCCAAGGCTTGACCATCTGATATCAAAAGAGACTTTTTATAGTCCCTCAGTTGTTCCTGACGCTGTCAGAGGGGGTTACAAGGATACAGGCAGCTGCTTCCAAGCAGCACATGGCTGCAGGGCACGGCAGAGGCAGCGCATCCTTGTGATGCCGGAGCATCCCCGGCTCCTCGGGATAACCCGCACGTTCCTCCCCAACAGCCTTCTGTGGGATGCACCAGGGACTCCAAGACTTTACAAACTCACTGAAACCAGCTGAAGGAATGGCTTTAAACTGAAGGTTGCGATGGGATAGTGGGAAGGAATTGCTGGCTGGGAGGGTGGGCAGGCCCTGGCACAGGTTGGGCAGAGAAGCTGTGGCTGCCCCTGGATCCCTGGAAGTGTCCAAGGCCAGGCTGGAGCACCCTGGGCTGGTGGAAGGTGTCCCTGCCCATGGCAGGGGGGTTGGGAATGGATGATCTCTAATATCCCCTCCAACCCAAACCATTCTAGGGTTCTGTGAGGAAAAATCAAAAATAAAGCTTGTTGTGCTAAAAACAAGAGAGCAGCGAAGCAGCAAGAGCGACACCGATTTTATTTCCCACCCCAGATTATGATCCACAAGTGTCCAAAGGGTCTTGAAGAGTGTTTTAAATAGAGTTGGGGCTTAGAAAACATGGTGTTTAACTCCTGCAAATGAAGTAAAGTCTATCTCAGGGTGGATGGTGGGGCTTCTGTTAACTAAAAATTGAACAATTGGCTGCACAGCCCGAAATCCATGTTTTCTGGCCACTGGCGCAAGAGTAAGATCCTTAAAAATCCAACTGATGCAAAAAAACCCATCAACTCCTTTATATAGGTTTGGGATTTTATGGGTTCTTGCTAAGTGCCACTGAACCTGGAGGAGCCCATTTTGCTGGAGTTGTTCACTTGGAGGTAAAACATCTCCCCAGGGTTTGACTCTGGCCTCAAATTCCCACACCAAAGCCTCTGTTACCCGCTTCATCCACATTTTCCAGCTGAAGCCAGGCTGCCAAAGGTCACTTTGAAGGAAAAAGGGGTCAGTGTGATGTGGGTGGGCCAGCAGAAGGGACCTGCTGAGCGCAGTTAATGTGTTGACTCTTCAATTGACACGTTGGTCGGGGCTGTGTTTGCTTTCCAAGAGCCTCCTTGTCTGTACACAGGGGACAGATGGCACTGGCAAGGTCTCCCAGAATGGACTGTAAATGAGCCTTTTAGCATTTTATTTCTATTTATTGTGTAAGCACGTGGAAACCCAGCTCTCCAGCCTCTCACCCAGTGTCCCTGGCACCGCTGGTGGCAGCCACCAGCAGAAACCATCCTCAACGTGATCCACGCAGAGGGGAGAGCACCAACCAGAAACTGCTCCCAAACCATTTTTCAGCTGGATCTGAGCAGGAACTCTCTGTATTGTGGCATCTCCTGCCCACGCTGGACCAGCTGCAGCTGTGGCTGAGCCCTAACAGCGCTGCAGATCCACGTCCACATCCCCCATCACATTTAGGGGATTTGTTGCCCAGAGAAGCTGCGACTGCCCAACCCTGGAAGTGTCCAAGGACACGCTGGACGGGGCTTGGAGCAACCTGGGCTAGTGGAAGGTGTCCCTGCCCATGGCAGGGGGTGGAATGAGATGGTCTTTAAGGTCCCTTCCAACCCAAACCATTGTAGAATTCTATGGAAAGGAGATTACAGGTCATGCCTGAGCCCATAAGGAGGAGTTTCATAGCTTGAAATATGACCATGAAGGAGGCTCTCAACCCCCAAGAGAACTTTTTCCAACTCTTGGATGAAGCCATTTTACAGCCTGTGTTGTCCCTGGCTGAAGGGAAACCCTTTCCCTGTGTAATTCCTCATTTCTCATCCAGCCCCTGCACAGCCTGTCTGGCCCAGCTGTTCCCATTTATCTCCCACCCAGAGACGAACAGCAGAGCTGGGATTAAACCTTCCTTCTTCACAGAGAACCATCTGCACCCCAAAAAAAATGACTTAAAAAAAAATAAAAAAATCTCCCTTACAGGGTGCAAAATTCCCAATTTATCCTCTTTTGCACTAACTCCACCAAATTAATCTGGCAGCTGCTGCATCTTTAACCCCCA